GTCATGATTGATAAGGGCCGATGGGAAATTTGGCCAGGATGTCGGGGTTACACCCCTACTCTTTACACTGTCTTTATACAGCACGGGTTTTAAACTTCTTCATTGCAACACAGCGCGTTCAGTGTTGCGCAGTGCTACGGATTGAAGCTGTTTGAGACTGCGATGTGGCTTTTTTGTTTTTCCTCGTGCCCGAAGTGGATGTGTACAGAGGCGTTCTGGATACTTGCTTTCCGGCGAATTCCAGTTGTGTGTCGTGTTTAGCTAATGCACTGCAGAGCACGTGTCGACAGGCGAAACCACCAACAGTTGGCTGCAGTCTGTCCATGAGACCTTAACAGCAGCATTGGGGGCATCTCTTCAATCTACTGACACATTTGTCTTCCTGTGGCGAAGGTTGCTCATAAAGGCGCAAGAACTTAAGAAAGATTCCAAATCAGAGAAGAGGCTGCTCTTATAAAAAACCTTCTTTATTTATATACGGTGAGGGAAACTCCATGACGAAAACCTGGCTCCTCTTTGAACTCTACCTGAACACTTTTACCACGAGCTGCGTAGCTAGGCTGCTTGCCGATAAATAATCCCAGACTCTCTCGATTTAAAAGAAACCAAAATGCTTCTTTTCCAAACCTCACAATGTCATGTACGCCGGTCAACAGCCTGTCGTTCTCTTCCTCCCGATGTCCCTCTGGCGCAGAGTTTCTGCTGTTTTCTCCTAGACATAAAACACGGACCAGCCGCCGATGAAAGCCTCCTCTTTCTGGTTTTTAGTGGCCACCCCACCAATTGTTCAGCCCCAATTGGTCAGGTGTCAAAGCAGTGCTTTCTGGGAAATGTAGTTCAGGCAAGAGCAGCCATCTTGTTTCAACCTACCATCCTCTTACAATATGTGTGTTGTAAAACACTGGTGTCATATACGCACGGCTCATTGGATCCATTGCAGCCCCAGAGTGCTGGTCTTGATGAGCAGACTCTGGCATCCACAGAACGTACTGGTGGAAGGTGCTGCTAGGCTTGCAGCCTGCTCTACCTGTTTGGGTTGTTGACTGTGTCACCTCTTTCCCCTGGCATTCCTCATGTTGCAGACTTCCTGTCACCTGGGTGGATGCACTCTCAGCAGGACCCGCATGGAGACTGACATGTGGCTGAGGGCCAGGAAGCGGAAAACCCAGCCAGCCTGGGTAGGACAATGACTTATTTTCCCTTTACTGTCTGTTTGTTCTTAGTGTTTTTCTCCTCCCCCCCCTTACCAATCTGTGTAGACGTAACACCCTGCAGCCCCAGCCTGCGAGCTCCTTTATTCTGTGTATCTGCTTCTTCCCTTCCCAGCCAGGCCTGCTGTTTCTGCCCCTGGGGCTGTGAAACCTATGTCTCAAGAGGCACTGGAATGTAGCTCTTTCAGTGGCCACTGTGAGGTCTTTTCCCAGCCTGTACAAGGGGAAGCGTGCCTGATCTCACCCTGGTTGCTTAGAAATGTCCTTTTCGTCTTTCGGGCTGGGGAAGGCGTCGGTTCTGATGGACTATGCAAGCATCAGGGCCGACGTGCGTCTGTCTAGAGAGCGCCCCGAATTCCAACACGGCAGTGGCTTTGCCAGGGGGGGGGGGCGGTTGGTTGTTCCCCCTTTGCTTGGCTTTTTTTCCCCGGCAGGGGGCCCCTTCCCCCCCGGCCCCCCCTCCCCCGGAGAAATGCTGTTTCCAGCTCTCGAGCCGCCAGGGCTGGTAGTCGATCACCGAGTCAGCCGGCCGATCCGCCCGTTCCCGTGGCAACACGGTCAGGCTGATCATCAGTACCACTGGCTTGTACTTACCAGCGCTTGAAAAAGCCAGGGCTTTCTTTCCCTGCTGAAAAGTGTAAGAAGGAAACACAACGTTTCGGCTGTGCAGCTCTCTTCGGGTGTGGAATCTCCACTGCCGAAACATTGTGTTTCCTTTCTTCCCTTTTCAGCAGGGAATAAACCTTTACTTGTTCCTTCGCAGCCTTGGGCATGCTGACGCAGCTCCCTGCGTGAATTATTAACATCACTTGCCTTGTCCTCAGCAGGACATTTATTCCCACACTTAAGGTATTACAGGGCTCATGACTGTCTCGCTGTTGCTTTGAATTTCTCCCTGGCTCGACTCCTCACGTCCTCCTCTTCCCTCGCTTCCCGGACCTCCCTGTTGGAGATCCAGTCTCCCGTGTCTTTGCCCACATATCCCCCCCCCCCGGGATCCTTCTCCTCACCCAGACCCCTGCCCCCCTGCAGGGTCGTTCACCCTGGGGGGTTCCACGCCCTCCCTCAGGAGGGACAGAGTTGGAGAGCCTGGAAAAATGCTGGCTCAGAAAGCACATGGCTTTTAATCATGTGTGCGAGTCTTGGGGGGGTTGTTGTTAATAGGGGCAGAGGGCTTGAGACAATGTCCCTGACAATTCTGGGTCCACCAGCAACCAGTGATGGTATTTAAATGGTACAAGCTCTGTGCTTCTTATCTCCTGTATCCCGGGGAGACTTTATTTGGAGTGTCTTGAGCAATTGTCCGCAAAATATTTCTTAAATGCATCTTAGCTTTAATCTTATTTCTTGCAGATGCAGAAATGCATCACCCCTCTCTGTGCAGCACGAGTGTCTGGGACAGAACCTGGCTTTAATTGAATGCAGGCTTCGCCCTTCGTGTTTTGCCCTTAAAACGCATAAAGCTTTTACCCGGCTCTCTGCAACTCCCATTGAGATCCATCTGCTTATAGCAAAGCTTTTACAGCCCAGTGTGCTTCCTTCTTGAGTGTAGGATTTTCGGGAAACGCCTTATGCCGGCTCTTTCATCATATTCACTGGGACAGCGGAATTCTCTTTGAAAATACCCTCCTGGGAAAGCAATTAATGCTGTCTCAAGAGCGCAGCCCTCACCTTCGAGATGAGAATATCAGCAGTGACATGCCCTGTGTAGTTCAGGTAAACATAAGGGATATTTTAAAACCAATTCAACAAGCGATCACGCAACCAAACATTGCTTGTTTGGGAGAAAAAGAGAAATTAGAATTGCTCTATTTAAAATGAATATATCCCTGAGCCTTCAGCAAACTCGGATCTCTGAAAGCTCCGGTCTCTACATGTACAGTCTGTATAAGAGCTGGTCAAAGTGTTCCTTTCACACCAGTCCTGCTGTGAGTATTGAGGGTATCCTTGCCTGGCTGTGGTCTTATCACTTATCAGGCACGAACAGGGCAGCCTCTCTTGTCTGCAGGTCCCCTGGCGCAGGAGATGTCTAACCTCAGTAGTGACTCTTACTGACTGACACTGGGAGACAGTGTCTGTACCCTGCTACACTTCTCTGCACAAATCATATCTTCAGTGCAGGAGACCCCAGCTGGAAATACCCCCAGGAAAAAGCTCTGCATCAAAACAGCATTCATATACCAGCGGGTGAAGGGCATTGCTCTGGTGGAGTCAGAAGTCAGAAGCTACTCGTGAAAAAGACTTTGGTGCTTCTTAGTGTTTGTTGACACATGACTCACATCTTCTAGACAAACAGTTTGAATACATTAAAGAGACACGGAAGTTATGAGGATGCCTAGTTAAAAGTACAGAATCCAAATGGAGCGTTATCTGCAGCTCTGGAAACCTGCTCAAAGAGGAGCAGCGAGACGTTCCCGAGCTCAAGGGGAGAGTCCTCCACTGACAGGTCTGGAGGAACTGGACCTTTTCAGTCTTGAAGAGGGCTGGTCACAAGGAGAGCCGATACCAGCATTCAGACTCCTCACTTTCACTGACCCAGCACACGGCTCCAGAAGGCAGGGTTCAACTTGAGCCGGGGAGGCTGGATGGAAAGCTGAGAAGGAACAGGAAGCACTTCTTCTTTATCCACGGGGCTGTGGAGCAAGCTGCCCAGCCATGTTGGGGGAAACACCCTGGCTTTGGCGGGATGAGGCTCTCTGGGATTCGTTTCCCAAACAATTCTGGCGCTCCCCACCCCACCTCTGTTTTGTTACCTTTCCCTCCATGGAGTTTAATGACGAAAGCTGGGGAGGAAATCAACAGCCCAGTTCCGTCCGACTCGGCCGTCATTGGCGCGCCCTCACCCCTGACGTCACTTCCTCTCCCGAGAGGAAGTGACTTTCTGCACCCCCACCTCCACCTCTGGAGCCGCCCCTTGGTCACCCCTCATTCTGCATGGAGGGTCCCAGTCTCCTCGTCCTCTGGCCAGGAGGTCGGCCCCTAAACCAAGCGGGTCAAGCCAAACGTTTGCCTAAAACGCCCCATAATCCCCATCATCCTTGGGCGTTGTTGTTCCTTGCACGTGTGAGCGTCGCGGTTTCCGGGCGGGCTCGTGCCCTCCGCCGGTTCGTCCCGCAACACGAACCCGGGTCTCCCGGCGTGACGCCACAGGGAACCAGCCGAGCGAGCTAAAGGAGACCCCCCCCAACCCAGGCGGCTGAGGTCCCTGCTACGCGCAGGGAGGGCGATGACGTCACCGCGCCCGTACGAGCTCCTCCACACATGGTGCAATAATTGATCAACTTTTTCGCAAAGCCTTTATCAGCACCGCTGCAGTGGGTCCGCCACGCCCAGCTCCTGGAGGGGGGGGGGAAACTAGAACTGAGGGTTTTCTTTCCTGTGTCACAGTAACCACTTCAGAAAGAGGAAGATCGCGGGCTCGCTGGTGACGGCTTGGCTTCCTTCCTCCCTCCTCGCGCCGGGAGGCTGCAGCAGCTTCTCTCCGCTTCGCCTGCTTGCAGTCAAGTCCTAGAGGGGCCAGGCAGTCCGCGGCGCGGGTTCGAGACACCGGGACAGAGCCCGCTGGCACCATGGCGTTCCGCTTCTCAGGTGAGCTGTTTGTGGGGCTCTGTCTTTTAAAAGGGAAGGAAAGCAGCAGGTGCATTGTGTAGCTGCAGACCCTCATGGTGTCCCCCCCCGCTAGCGTGCAGCAGGCTAGGTCTGTATCGCTCTTGGAAGCAGGAAGCGCTCACTATCTCCAACAGGCAATGCACGCACACACACACACACGCCGCCTCGACCGCGCCAGGACGGTTATCTTGCAAAGGCCAAGTCTTTTCAGCGCTCACCCCCACCACGTCCCGTTTCAAAGACCGGGGGACTTGTCGGGCCAAATGGGGAAAAAAAGAATTATCTCGCCCGGCCCTCCCGGGTTGGACTCGGTCCTCCCAAGGCAACAGCCCCACCTCCGGGGGGCACTGTTCTGCCCACCAAGTTATGTTATCGCAACAACTTCAAATGCACCCTGTGCTTGTGGAGGGTGTTTAAGCCCTAGAATAATAAAGACCTACCTACTGAGCACATGTTACTTTCTGTTCCTTAGCATACACTAATAAATATGCATATACAGTATATACTAAGTTATTTAATGAACCTTTCTTTTATATACACAAATATATGCATATGCATAAAGTATACATATCTTTTGCATGTAAGTCAGTTACTTTTCTGGAATACCCTGCCTGGCACAAATATCCTAGAGAGAAAGGTAATAGTTGTTGTCAGTCTGGGTCTGAACTGAACTGATGTGGAAAAACCTGAGCTCTGAATTTTCCTGGAACTAGCTCTGGCCAGAGAGAAGGGGGTTACGTTATTTTTTCTATCGCAGAGCTGGCCACAGCCCCCCAAACGCAGTCGCTTGTCCGGTTGGCAAATAACGAAAACGCAACCAAGTCGTCAATCGGAGGGCCTGTCTGACATGCTGCAAGCTCTGCTTCCTCTTCCTCTGTGCTCCCTGGCTTCGTGGCGGGCGTTGACGAATGCCAGGCGAGCGAGCAGCTCCGGGTACGAGAGTCTGTTACCGCTCTGCAGCTCACCACTGCCCCCTATAGCCCCCCCCCCCCCTCAAACTCCTACAGGGTAGCAGCTCCTGCAGGGTGGGCTCACGGACACTGAGCTCTTTTCAATGCATTCAAAGGATCACTTGAGAGCAGAAGCTCGGACACAATGGGGATTTGCCTATGCAAATATAACCCTGCGCCGCCAGCCACCACTACAGAGGCAGGAGAGGAACTTGCACTTAAAATGAGAGTATTGCCTTGCACCTGCTGCTGCACTCAACACCCACCTGAACCTGGAAGGACGTGCATTCTCTGGTGTCTGCCGGCCCTGTACGCATGACTGGCTGGAAACGAAAGAGAAAACGTTCCGCGTTGTGCACGAGGTTGGAATGAGTAAACCGATCCACCTGCTCTGTCTCTACCCAATTTGTATTTAGAAGGACCAGTTCACTTGTAGAGAGGGGCTGGGTGGCTCCTGTTTCCCCCTCCCTCACGGCGTGTCACAAGCTTTTATTGTAGTGTGCTGTGTTGTATAATCTTTTGTTGTCTCGCACAGTGTTGGACAGCCTAACGGGCTTCGTTGCGTGTTAAATACACAAATTCCTGTAGGTCTGTAGGGGACAGGAACGACCTATTCCACAGCCAGGTAGCACGGACAGCGTCTCCACGCTGGGGCCCTATCGGAGTTCGGGCTCTAAATTTCCCAAACCTGGGAACCCCGATGACAGTCGTCTGTGGGACTGTGGGCACACCCATGCAGGCAATTAATTTTTTTTTTTTTTAAAAAGCGTGGGGCTGCAACAGAAGGATCGGGTTGCTAATTGCAGTGGTTAAACTGTTTTGTTGGTGAGAAACCGACGCCGTAGGATCAGAAGAAACGCATGACATGCCCTCCTCTGGCCGCAGACAGTTTTCCGTCAACAAGGAAAATGCATTGCGACCCCCTGACAAACCCATCCGAAACTGTTTCACAACGAGGCCCCTATCCAATTGAACCATCGAATCGACAGGTTGTATCATTCCCTCCCGGCCTGCAAGAGGGACGCCGACACAGGTCCAGCCTCTCTGCCCCTCACAGACAAGCAGTTTGAGCTCAGGTTTCCTGTCGTTATCCTCACACACAGGTATAGGGCACTGGTACAGACCTGCTGTTTTGCTATACTGAGTGTCGGTCTCTGTCCAGCCCCACAGGTCTGTCTGTCTCTCTGTCATGTTGCTACCTGGTGTTTGATGATGGCGATTTCTCCACCATCAACATAAATGTGGAGGGTGGAGGGGCCGCCACCAGATCTCCGAGACGTGTGCTTAATTGCATCGCGAATGCCGAGACCAGCTGGGTCAGTGAGTCTTCCAAAGGACAGATCAGAGCAGCATTAATGTGTGTGTGTGTGTGTGGCACTGGGGGGGGGTGCCAGGGTGGATGTCTTTTTTTGAGATGAGTCTCCACCTTGTGCAGGGGAGGGGAGGGGGGGGGACGGGCTGTCAGACTGAATATATAGCACTGCAGTGCTTGGATGAGAGCACAGCCACAGAGGAAGAGAGAGAGTTCAGCCCAGAACGGAGAGAGAGAGAGAGCTGTCACAGGCTGAACAGGGACGCGCACCGAGCTGCTAGACAGGTGTGTAACGGCGACGAGTGGGGTGGGAGATGTATAGACACAACGCCAGAGCAGGGGGGTGGAGGGTGGGGAGGTTAGCTGCATGAGAGGCTGGAAAGCATGCTTTGAGCTCCGGCTTTCAAATGCACAATCCTTGTTTAGCTTGCAGGCACCAGTCTGCAGTTCTGCAGAAGCACTGGAATGCAGCGCACAGCAGGGTCATGCACGGGGACTGGCAAGAGGGATATATACCTTCCCGAAGCTTGCGGTGGTGCGTTTTGGAGTTGCGCGGGAGCACGTTTTCAGACTCCTGTGCGGCGGACACCTGTAGGCGCGAGTTATGTGGCTGACGGCGCGTTGCACGACGCGATTGATCGGCGAGGCTGGCTGGATCAAGAGTGATCGGCGCCGTCCCTGTGTCCCTGCGCCCCCAGGTGCTAACACAGCCGGAGCAACGCTCCGACCCCTTCCTGGGGAGCAGAGCGTGGGCAGCCCTGTCCGTCTGATCAGAGAAGTCTGTCGGTGGGTCTCCTGAGGGTTCTCTCAGCTGCAATTAAGCTCGTTTGGACAGCCTGCTGTTATGAGATTACCCTTCCTTTCAGCGAGCGATTAGCCCTTAACCACAGTTTCTGGAGCTGGAAAGGTGCATGTTTGTGCAACACGAGTGAGCGCGCAGCCAGATGCATTCTTAATAAGGGCTGGGCATGTTTTGCAAGTACATGTGTATGTACGCCGTGCCTTCGGGATGAGCAGGGGAGCTGGTGCACATGCCCTCACGCGAGTAAAGGCTGCTGAAGTATTCCGTTCTCCGCCATGTCCTGCGCTGCTTCTGCTTAGGGTGCATGATCGATTAAAAAAAACCGGTGTGCTCACTGTCTGTCACCAATGGCGCCCATCGAGGTGAGTGAGGAGAAACGAGAATGGGCAGGCAAAAACGATCGGAGTCGGCGCGAGAAATGCCAGTTGCACCTCCTTTGAGATGTGCAGGTTGTTTTTTTTCATCTAGACACCCTGCTTCCTCTGCCGGCTCTGGGCTGCGACGTCTGAGCACCTCACCTCTGCAGGGTCTCGCCCCGGTGGGCGCAAGATTCCTGCGGTGTGGCAGTTGTCGGCCGGCGGTGGGAGCAGTGCATTCTTTCAACTTGTTTTTACAGTTCTGCTGCACCCGAGTCCCGTTTCTCACTAGGGCGCCGTCACCTTCGTGCAGGCGCTGAATGCGCGAGCAGATAATGGCCAAAAACGTCAGGCAGGGCTGTGGCGTGGGATGGCCCTTAGAAGGGGGTTATCTCCTTGTCCAGATACGGAGCGGCGCACCTGCGGTGCAGAGAGTAAGGCAGGTGATCGCTGGGTGCTCCGAAGTCCCTGAAGTCCCAACGCCACCAGCAGTGGAAAAAAACAACAAATCAGTTTTTTGTAAGACTCATCTCAAACTTGCTAGACAAAATATTGGCAATCAGAAGCAATCCCCATGGCCAGATTGTAGTGTCCCTCCAGCGTGCTTCCTGACAGATTCAGACACTCCGTGAGCTGAGGTTCACCGTGGCCCCCTGCCTCCAGGGCTAAAAAAGCTGGTCGACAGTGTCACAAGTGCCCCACCCACGCCCACAGTCGGGCTTTACGACCTGGGCCGTCCCATCTCTGGCCGGGGACTCTGTTTGTTCAGTGTGTCACAATGCAATCAGGCTGGCGTGCCCGGCAGGTACCGCCCAGACACTAGTGACCCAGTGTGTGTGTGTGTGAGTGAGTGTGTGTGAGTGAGTGTTCCTGCTGGGTTCATGCCTTCAGCAGTCAGTCTCGGTTTGGGACATCACTCCTGTTTCTCCAACACCTGTCTTCACTCTCTGACTGACTGACCGACCGACCTGCAGGGCCCCACGACTCCCAGCGCTGCCCGAGCTCACTTGCCGGACTCCCGCCTTCTTCAAACGAAGCGCTAGAGAGCGTGGGTGAGCCCTCGGTGTGCTTATCCACAGGACGTGGATCGATCAACTCCCCAGGGTGTCTCGTCTGTCAGATTTTTAACAATGGGCTTCGATTCATTTCTTTTTTCGTGCTGAGTGCTCTTGTGTTCTGCGAAGCAGGCCGTGCTCTGTTCTGTGTGCCTCTCTATCTGTGTTTGATCTGGGGCGAGTTCCGTAGTACTGCAATGCGAGCTGCTCGTGTTGACATTAGAGATACAGAATGAAAATTACAGGTTATCAGGTGCTCCCGTGCATGTTTGACCCTAATCGCTTTTCCTGAGAAGCAGAGAAAATGTTAACCAGAGAAAGGATTGTGTCACTTTCTGTTTTCCAGTGTGGTTCGTGCCCGATCACACTGCTGAGTAAACCTCCCACAAGCAGCCCCAGCCCAGCGCTAAGTTAACATTTGTCTTTTTTTGTTTAACGTTTGTTTTATGTTTGTTTTTGTTTTTTTGGCAGTTTTCCGGAAAACCAAAGGCATGGCTGGTGAGTTCGACTTTTCTCTCCTGCTTTGGTCTCTGACCGTGCTCCCGAGCTCGGATAGAGGGAAAGAGCAACAGGATCTGGGGTCTCCGGCCCCTTAGAAAATGTGCAGTCCTGAAGTTGTACTGCAGTGAGAATTCTCCCGATCATTAAGAGATTCAATCTGCAGTGTGAAGGCATGCTGTCGTTATATGTTCCATATAATTCCTGGGAATCGTAGGATTGTTCAAATGGGAGTTTAGAGACTGCCGGCATGAGTTTAACCCCAAATTACCTGTGCGGTACTGACGTCATTCCTGATCGATATTCAGTTTTCAATCTAAAATTTATCATTAACATCACTTTATTGGCCCTGTACAATTTCTCGCATTAGGAATTCGTCTTTTCGCAGACCCCAGCTTGCTCTCCATGAGACACACAGACAGGGAGAGAAGCTGGGGGTCAGAGCGCAGGGTCAGCCATT